TCGTACTGCTTTAACTGCATAAAGACGAAATATCAAACCGCGTAAGCGCCGCGTCGACGTCTAACGCGTAAACATTGGTACGGAACCCATAGCAATGTAAACCAAAATTATACTTATTGTTAAAATCTCTATAAAATATCTGATAATTTGATGTGCATATGTCTAATGATCATTTTTGACCGCCAAATGGCATTTTTTTTTACTTTTTTTTATTAGATCTCCGAAATCGCTAGACCTGCCTTTATGAAAATTTGATCAGTTCTTCATTCAGTCAATACAAATAAAATGTTTTTTGAATTATTGAAATCGGACGCTCCGTTCTCTTAAAAACTGAGTTACCGTTTTCGGCACTTTTTGCCCCGTATCTTCGGAACGGCTAGACCTGACTGCGCCAAAAACTAATCAGCACGTCTCCTTATCAATACAAATCAAATGTTTTTCGAATTATTCAAATCGGATTATCGGTGTTCCCGAAATCGTCGACGAAAATTTGTATCCGCGCACATACACGCGCACACACACACACACGCGCGCGCACGCACACACACACACACACACACACACACACACACACACACACACATCCATTTTTTCTAAGGTATGCCAAAATATTCAGAAACCTTTGAAACGTCGAGAAATGCAAAAATTTTCATTTTCTATTTTTTTGCGATTACTATAACTTGCCCTATGGGAAGTTAATAAAATTTCAGTATGAATACGAATAGTTTTCAATATTCCGCAGTATATATATTTCTATTTATTCTTCATTTTCTTTGTACTTCATGAAAATTATATCATTTTAAGTAAACATTTCAAATTTTAAGTAAAATTTGACGAATAAAAAGTAATTAATTATTTATAGTCACATTTTAATTAAAATATAAGCAGTCTCATTTGTTTAAATTAATTTATTGGGAAATGCTAATGCAAAAATATTTTTTTTGAATTATTTGATTATTGTATTATTTAATTATTATATATTAATAATTAATATATGATATATATATATATATATATATATATATAATATATTATTAATTAATTATAATATATTTCAGAAATTACGTTTTTATTTCAACACGGTATCATGTGCAAAAACATGATGGTTCGAATATGGTTCGAATATGGTTTCGAATATGGTTCAATATGATTGGAAATTCTATTAAAAGTTTCAAATCATTGATCAATAACTTTTATTGATTATTATTGATTATTTTTAATTACTCAAATTTTGAATTGCGGTACGGGAAGTTCCAGCAATTTGCCTTAAGGCACGATGCCCTAATTGCCTAAAGACAGAATTCCACTTACAGCAAGTTTGCGATTACTATAACTTGCCCTACGGGAAGTTAAAAATTATTCTTTGTGTCTGTACATTAAATATGCTTATAGGATATGTTCAACCGCGCATATATGCGTTTTACGCAAATCATCAAATTGGCCGAATATGTGTTTGGAAAAAGCAGTTATTGCTTATATATGTGTCACACCTAAATATACGTCGATGGGCAAAAAACTCAATGTTAATAAACCAAACCGAATAGTTAAGAAACAAATAAATATTTTATCAATCATGTGGAAAATATGTGTATATAAATATAACATATGACCAGAATTTGAGTTGGAATGCAAGAATTTGAGTTCCATTAATATGGGTTGGCAATTTTAAATGACCAAGGGACGGTTTACTACAAAAGTCCCGTCCTCAAAGAGTTAATTTTCACGAAAGTAAATTTTAATTTTATTTTTAAAAATAATTAATTTATATACACATATTTGTGAAGTAGAAGTAACACCGGCTACTTCTACTATTGTGATTTATTTATCTTATGTCATTTAACTGTAAATTTTATGCAGAAACAAAAAAGTAATAGGTTAGAGCTGGGCACAAAGGTCCAATTCCAACTTTCAGCAATTGTATTGTAAAAACCAAACCAATTATTTATATCACAACAAATAACACATATTTAACACACAACTATCTGACTACGTTCAGTAAAACTCCCAGATAATTTCTCATTGTACAAATTAAATGGTTTTTCAAAAATTTGTCATCTGTTCCTTTTTATTCCAAAGGCGGGGTAAAATGGAACGGCCAGGGTGCAAACAGGTCCAATGTCTTTGTTTTAATTTTAAAGGGATTTTACAAATCAATAGCTACATTGTTCAACCAATGCAAAATATACAATTGATTGCTACAATTTTTACAGAGTATACATTGTATATAACCTTGATCTTGTATTTTATTAGAAATATTCATCCGCAGAGTTAAAATAACTATTTATTCATCTTTTCTGGAATTGCTTTTTTAACTTAATATACTTTTTATTAACTATTTTTTATTGATAACACCTTTGTTCAGGATAAAGGTTAATTTGGTACTTTTTACGTAACCCACATGCAAAAGCTATTATAAAGAGGTTATATAAAAAACCTGTTAAATCTAACTTAAAATTAACAATACGTCTTATAAGACAATTGAATAACGTTAATTTATAAATTATTTTGAGGTCTCGTAAACTAAACAACAGTGCTCACAACTAAAAAAAATTATAACGAAAGGAAATACTTTTATATAGAACTTCAAATATAGCCGTTTATCTCCTGATAGCGACATTGCTTGATTTGAGGCAATAGCTGATTACATATCTTTTTCCCTCTACTTTTAAACAATGTTGTTTAAAAAATCCTTAACTTTCCTTGTTTTTGAGATATTGATGGCCCACGCTGCTATAAGTATTTTAAATTTTCCTCCAATGAAAGATTCTGCGCCAGTTTTGCACAATGAAAGATTTTATTTTAAATTTTAGTCTTTATTGATTAAGATTTTGTAACGAATATAAAAAAATAGCTATTTGTTGATCAGATTTTTTTTATTTAATATAACAAAATATTATTTCGAACAAATTTTCTTGCAAATTTTTGTGATCAAACTTATTCAAGTCTGCAAGTATTCAATAATGATTTTACTTTTCATTCATACGATCATTAAGTTAATATTACATATCTGTATATATATATATATATATATATATATATATATATATAATAATTAATTATAGCAAATATTTATATGGCGATCAACATTGCCTGAATTGAGCAATTTATCAGAAAGAGATAGAGTTCGATTCCGATTTCCGATAATGATATCGATATTTCAATAAGGACTAATCGATTTCCTCAGTTCTATTGTCTTTTTCATTGGGAGCGGCTTTACTTTTAATGCAAAAATACGCGAACTCATGCGGCCAAACCATTCGTCATTGTTGTCATTTGCAGATTTGCCATGTCCGAGTTTAGTGCCATTCGCTACATAGCCATAAAACTTGCGGTTTTACTTGGAAGTGAATAAAAAAAGGTATATGAGAATAATTACAGAGATCATTCCACTTAAATATAACGCTGATCACATGGTTCTAATTATGGAGATAGTCTTATATGACTGATGATATTTTTTCAATCAGTTAGTGCATGTTGTAAATGTTCTGAAAAAATAATGTGGTTTGCACATTTTCTTAATTTGGTGCTCTGGAATTTATTACTGAGCAATTATTGCACTTTATAGAATAATTAGTTATTTGGGATGTATGAAACACATATAATAAAAATTCTTTCCTTTGTACTCCAAACGAAATCTTAGTTTATCAACCTGGTCGTAAGTAGGTAATAGTAAAAATTTCAACGAATATGATGATATTCAAAATTAAAACTAAAAAAAAAATATGTGAAAATTTTGGACAGAAAAGTCTACCAGTCCTGTCACTATTGTTCCTAAAGACAGAAACTTTAGAAAATCTGAAGATCGCTTTATAATTCAGTTTTCTGAAAAAAAATTATAGGAAATTAGATAGAAAAATAATTAGAATGATAAATAACTATTCTTCTAATTTTTTGTATTTTTATATTTGGCGATAAAAAATTTCTTTTTAAGGGGGCCCCCAAACAAATTTTGATACGAGGCCCCGCGAAGGCACGCTACGCCCCTGATATTGAGAAAAGAGTTCTTCACGTGTTCGTCTTTTTTTTTTTAAAGTCAATAAAGTATAAATTATTATATATATATACAATAATAAATTCATTAATTAATTCTGGATATCATATTATATAAACTAAAGATTTTCCAAAGCAGATCCATCTTTATGGCATAAAAGATAAGACACAATACTTTCGCTGTGCGGCGGCGACTGCTTTGGTTTTAAGTAACTAAATATTCGGCCGAATGTAAGTTCGATGCAAGCTCGGTTGAATAATTAACTCCGACTTTGTACTTAAAAAAATATAAAATATAAGTTTCAGGTAAAATAAAATTTATGTACAATGTAAAAATTTATTTCGTAGTCCGCGGTTTCCTGGGCCGGGGCCCCCTTAGGTCGGGGGCCCGTGGCATTTTGCCACCCACGCCACCCTATAGTTACGCCACTGCTATGTAGTCTGACCATTTGATCGCCTGTACAACCATGTTTTTTTTTTGCTAATTTAAATTTTTACGGTTTTAAATGAGTATAACTTTCAACCTTGTGCAAGAATTTTGAGTTTGACTCGTAGTCAAATAGACTTTAATATGATGAACTTGATGATGAACATTGTATTTAATGTCTGAATGCATTTTTCATTTCTTTTTTTCAGAAGCGAAATTCGTGCAGCTACTATGATTTTTATAAAATGACTATCCTTTTAATATTAATTATGAATAAGCTTGACAAGAGTCTGAAATAATCTATTATTATTGATTACGGTTTGCTTATGAATAAATAAATAAAAAATAAATAAATATATTTTATGGGGTTTGATTCGACTATCAACTCTATCAACATGCTAAGTTTCATGAAATTTCCAGAAGAGTAAAACTGAGGTTCTCCTTGTTAGGCATAGCCGGCAAGAGGGGTGCACCCAGGTGCTTATTTGATGGTTGATGTTAGAATTTTTCATCTCAATTGGAATTTATTGACATGTTAGTTGAATTTTGCATCGGTCTACTTCTAGTAAATATGATCACTTACCTCGGGTACCGTAGTCTCGTACGGCGTGTTCACGAACGCAGGAGCGTTGTCGTTCACATCAGACACGCGGACGATAATCGGGATTGTCCTCTTTTTGTTGGTCGCCTTCACTAAGCACGTTAACTGTAACAAAACATAACAGGAAGCGATGAGAAAATGCCAATCTTCGTACTAGAACTAGACAAATGCTCATGCACGATCCCAGCCATGAGCCATATTAGATAGGGTGCATTGGATTATTGACATATCCGTTATGTAGATAGAACGCGAAATATTTTTGCGTAATAACGATTAATCAGTCGGGTAAGGAATTTCATTTTATATTAAATAGCGCATATTCACATATGTGTTAACAAGCCGAATGTTCTTGGTCATTGATACCAAGGATTGCAAGTGAAATGTCTAATTGTTTGATTGCAAGTGAAATTTACACTGTTTAACACTAGATTTGCAGATGTTGGTTATATACCTATTTTTACTAAAGTGAGCCAATTTGACTCATCTAAGAAGATGGGAGTTCTTTAAAAAAATATAGTTTTAAGCCAATTTAAACTAGTGGGGCGCATGGCATCGTGTTAAGGCAAATTGCCGGAACTTCCCGTACCATTTTTTTTTTTAAAGATTAACATTAGATTTTTGAGAAACTATAAATTTTTGACAAAAATTTACTTTTTTTTAAAAAAAAAAGACTTTTTGATGAAAAATGTATTTTGAAATATTTTGGAAATTTTGAACTTTTTTTTCAAAGCAATCGTACTGCCTTAACTGCATAGAGACGAAATATCGAAGTGCGTTAGCGCCGCGCCGCCGTCTAACGGATAAGCATTGGTACGGAACCCATAGGAATGTAAACAAAATTTATACTTATTGTTAAAATATCTATAGAATATCTAATAATTTGATGTGCATATGTCTAATGATCATTTTTGACCGCCAGATGGCATTTTTTTCCACTAGATCTTCGAAACCGATAGACCTGCCTTCATGAAAATTTGATCAGTTCTTCATCTTGTTAATACAAATAAAAAGGTTTTTTGAATTATTCAAATCGGACGCTCCGTTCTCTTAAAAACTGAGTTACCGTTTTTGTCACTTTTTGCCTCATATCTTTGGAACGGCTAGACCTGCCTTCGCCAAAAACTAATCAACACGTCTCCTTATCAATACAAATCAAATGTTTTTTGAATTATTCAAATCGCTTCATCCGTGTTCTCGAAATCGTCGACAAAAGTTTGTATCCGCACACACATACACACACGCACACACACACACACATACATTCATTTTTTCTAAGGTATGCCAAAATATTCAGAAACCTCTTAAACGTAAAGATATATAAAAATTGTCATTTTCGATTTTTTTTCGACTACTATAACTTACCCTACGGGAGGTTAATAAAATATTGGTTATCAAATTCATGAAAAACATTTTTTACCATTTGGTCTATTACATCAACGCCATACTTGGTGCTATTATAATAAATTAGTGTTCATGGAACAAAATTGCAATTTTATTTTAATTTTTATGCTTCGTAATTTACGGTATTTTGTTTCGATTTGGACGTATTGGCACTCGAATAGTGCCAATTAAAGTAGTTCCCTTCTTTCTTTTGCAAATGAAATGATAGTTGTAGGAATTTATTAATTAAAAACAAACTCTCGATAAAAGTATTAAACTGTATTAAAATCGGATCATTTATAATAATCGGCATGTCATGACAATCTATCGTTTTTATGATGTCTGATCAAGGCTGACTCGGATTTTCACATAGTAATTAATATTTCGTTTACAGCTTAAATGTGAAAGCTCTGCAAGCTTAGCTACTAAAATTTCGCTCAAGGAAATGTTTGATCCTAGGATTTCATACATGCCCAAGTATGGAAAACCATTTACAAATTATTTGCTTCTTACATTTGATGCCAAATTAATCCGGCTTATTTGGCATGTACAACGTAAATTGTCATCTAGTTTTAGTAGGAAATAAATGTTCATCGATCGCTATGTTTGCGACAGGTTTGTAACAAACCTGAAAATTCTGTATATTTTTTTTTCATAATTTTGGAGTCAAGGTAATTATATATTAGATGTAATTTTTGGTTCCAACAAATACCTTTACAAATAAATTACAAAACTAATGGGGTGGGGTGTATGGCATCGTGCCAGGGGCGTAGCGTGCTTTGGCGGGGCCCCGTATAAAAATTTGTTTGGGGGCCCCTAATTTTCTGAATTTTTCACAAATGATTCCAGATATATTTTCACTCTCGTTACCTTTTTTTGAAAAACTGACTTATTTAGTGATCTTTAAATTTTATAAAGTTTCTGTCTACAGGTCTGGTATACATTTATGTCATAATGTATTTACGTAATTTTTAATTAGTTTTAATTTAAAAAAAATTAGCAGTTGCGATTTTAACTGTAAATTGTAATTAAGGGCCAAGAAAAAATGCATACTGTTATTTCGTTGAGAAAACTGGATGCAAGCCTATTGCGTCCATCATTGTACCTTAATGAAATAAATTTCTTAGATTTATGTATTCAAATCTATTTCTAGAACTATCAATTGGTCATGATCATATGAAATATTTTACAATATTTCTTTACAGTAATTCAGTCGACAGTTTTCCGGAAACGTTTATTAATTCTCGATTTCAAAAAGGCAAATGTTACTACTTACGTTGCAAAGGTTCTGAAATCTTTGTTTGCTTTGTGAAATTAATATAACCAAACAGCAATAGTATATATTAAAATAAAATTTCGGGTCTAAAATTCTCTCATCTTGTGATAACTCATCATAATAACTCTTCCTTTTTTTGTTCTTTAAAATAGTTATTGCAATCCATCTTTTTTGCAAATTATTTGTACTTCTTCAACAAACTATTTCAATAAATTTTCATATGTCAATTCGCACAGTCTATTCAAAAGATTACTTAATAAAATACTAGTTTTCTGTAAGTCATTACTGGCGTGTTGTAAAGTTTCAGAACAGAAACTTATATTTTTAAACAGTGAAGAAAAATCTGAAAATGATTTAGTTGATCATGTTTATCAAAATCTAACTATTAAACTGACGCATCAAACAACAACAAACAACGATATAAATATGAATCTATGAATTCATCGTTTTTTATGAAAACATAAAATTCTTTTTTTGGGAAGTTAAAAAACAAAAATTATAAAAGTATTAAGATTGGACAACCCCAGAAATTACTTTTAAGGTAGGATTTGAACTTTTATTTAAGCGCAAAAATCGCAACTAAAATTGTTAAAAATACTCAATGACTAAATGCGGGATGAAAAATGATTGAATTACTAAAATGGTTTGAAAATAGATTAGTTGTATGTACTTTTAATGTAACATTATCAAGAAATAAAAACAGAAAAATTCGTCAAAAAATTAAAAAAATAAGGGTGAACAACCCGTATCACTTAGGCGTATGAAAAATTGATAGTAGCCAATTCTTAGACCTAATAAATACGCATATAAAATTTGATAAAAATCGATAAAACCGTTTCGGAGGACACACACATACACACACATATGTATATATATATATATATATATATATATATATATATATATTACCTCACGATTAAATCATTGATAACTAATTAAAATCTGTTTGAATTTATACAATGAGAAAAACGACAGTTTACTTTCAATCAGTTTTCTTCGACATAAGGAATGTTGGGTTAAGATATTTATAGAGTATCAATGCCGCAAGTTTTTTTCTTTAGACTTGAATTGCTATCGAGATATAATTTTTTTTTCCTGATTTATTGAGCTGCCTATTGAACGAATTTAATGAAAAAGTCCTCATAAAAACAATATTTAAATATTCATATTAGGGCTGTTCGGACGAAATAAAAATTATATTGTTGTGTATCCGAAGCCTGTCTTTGCCAAAAACTAATCAGCACCATTCCCCATTAGTAGGATTAGAATGGTTTTTTGAATATTTCAAAATGGTCGACCTTGCGCCCAAGATCGTGGACGAAAAATTGGGTACACACAAAACAAAACACACACACACACATCAATTTTTTCTAAGATTTGCCAAAGTGTTCAGAAATCTCTGGAACGTGAAGATATGTAGAAATTTTCATTTTTGATTTTTGGCCGATTACTATAACTTAACCTACGGGAAGTTATAACATTTTGTCTTAAGACAAGTTGTATATACTTCCACATATGTGTAAATCATCGACTTAATCAATATAAATTGGGATTTAAAAAGTTTTAAAATTTTGATAGGTGCAAAATACAGGACGGAATAAACACAGATCATAAGAGCACGGCTAATTGTTCCAAACACTAATCTATACTTATAATTAAACCACTTATGGTAGGAATTAAATTTTTAGGAGGTTCATTTAGTTAGACCATGACCTAGGTTACTAAGTGAAGTAAATTTTTTGTAGGAAGAAAAGGCCCGGACCATTTTTACCAAAATATAATCAGCCCGATTTCCAACTGGTAACTTTCTAACAGTTTTTGAATTTTCAAAATTTCGTAGGTTCCTTCTAATTTTGATATTAAATGAGCCAGGATATTTTATAGAAAATATAATATTAACAAATTTGATTTTCTGGAAAAAACATGTACTTTGTAGTAAAATTATCAAATAATTTATCAAGAGCTTATGTGAAACAAAAACATTTCAGCGCGTTAGCAATTATTCAGTATTAGTCATTCAGGCAGTATTTTTCAGTTTTTACTTTTACTTTTTTTTGAATAATAAAATTATCAAGTAAATTGTCATTTTAAAATCATAATTAATGCACCAACTTTCGATAAAACTTCCCAAAACCCTTAAATACATTTTTTTCTCAAAGAGTGGGCATCTAAAAGTCGACCAATTTTGAATTTGGAGTTCAACAAAAAGTCCTATTTTTTGTAAACTTGGGGCAATTGCGTTATTATTTTGACTGCGCGCCTATAATATTATTCACGGTAATGTTTCCAGAGTTTAAAAAAAAACAATATTAATGAAAATTAACCACAATAACCGAAAAGTAGTCATAATTTCATCAAAGCTTTAGGTCGGACTTAAAGACTCATAATTTCCAAACAGCATGAGATCTTTTTTTTTCTATTTTTTTCAGGATAGTTAAGGTCAATACTATCACCCCATTGACGTTGAGTTCTGGGATACGCATTTAATTTTTCGAAA